TATAATGGTTTGCGGAGAAGCACGAAAACCACTCTGTATTTTATTGAGACGATTGTATTGCATAATTAGACTCTATATTTTCTTGACACGAAAACCACTATGTATTTTGTTGAAGACCACTGATTTTTGATACGTAAATGGACACTTGTACCCATAAATGGGGAAATTCTGAAAATCACTCTATTATTTACTGAAAACAACTGTTATTTTGCTACGTAACTGCATTCATATTAACATAATTTCGAACCCAGAAAAAAACCATGATTATTATGGGTATCGGCTATTATGTGTGAAAACCACTCTATATTTTCAAAAGGTTCGATCGGCTATATGCTAGAAACCACATAACAATGTCGGGGAAAAAGCCAGTTGCATTCATATTAACATTATTTTGCACAACATAAAAAACCATGAATATTATTGGTGTCGGCTATTATTTGTGAACACCACTTTGTATTTTGAAAGGTTCGTTCGGCTATATGCTAACAACCACATAACAATGGCCGGGAAAAAAACAGTTGCTTTCATGTTATCAAAAAAAAAAAAAAAAAAAAACCATGACTATTATGCACTACAGAGTTTGCGTAAAAGCACGAAAACCACTATGTATGTTGTTAAGATGAAACGTTCTACTCCTACAATCGGATCGGTAGAGGATGTGTGGAAATAATACAAATAGCTTTGAAACGGATTCTCTGTAATTAAGGGGCGCAATCGTGGGATTATATGAGGATGTGTTATTACGATAAAATAGGAAAAGATTATCAAATATATTTTTTTTTTCAATCATAAAACATACGTTACTTTTAAGTTAGGGATATAATAGTGATAATTTATTACTTATTATTATTTAATACTTAAATGGATTTATCTCAAAAAGTTCTAAAAAAAATTAGACCTACTGTAATTAGACTTGTGTAATGGGGGGCTTTTGACAAATAATCCCTAAATTATAATCATAAAAGGGACTGATAATATTAGTTTCATTAAGTACAAGACCAAAATAAAAAAAAAATTCAATGTACAAATACTATAATACCCCTATTTGTAAAAAGAAGGTAAATTACGGAAACTTCCTGAACTTAGGTTAAATAATGAAAATCATCCCTACTTATTCGTAATTATCAAAAAATCCCTAAAGTTTGTTTCTGTCTTACACCAACCTCTTACAGTCTGACTTTTCATGGATTTTTTTTTATTCCAGAGAGTAGACTTACTCAATTTCAGATATTTTCTTTCATTTCTCATTTGTTTAACAGAAGGTATAATAGACTGTACATATTTTCTGTTAA